CGGGGGGGGGGGGCTTATTGCCCCGGCGCAGTTTGATGTGCAATTACGCGATCAGACTCGCCGGCGGCACACCATGGGTCCTTCCCTCGGCGCTGGTCTGGAGGCAGCCCGTGGCAAACGTTTACTAGTACCTTGGAGGTACTAGTTTTTTAACTCGCATTGTCAACGGTAAGCCACCGGTGCGCTCCACTTCCCAGATGTTGGGGTGTGATCGCGCCCGGATAATCCACCCACCATCCGTGCCTCTCCCGCGGCAACTTTGCTGTTTGACCGGGGCCTATAACAGCCTGCTGCATCTCTCATCATTTATGACCAATGTTCCCTCTAAGCTGCGTTAGTGTGAGCTAGCTCACAGGTATTTAGCCTCCAGCTCACACATTTTTGTCTTCGCTCAGGAAGGATGGCTCCAGAGCAAACTCATTTATGCAGTAGAAGAAGAAGATAAGAGATAGGATTTATACCCCGCCCTTCACTACCCAAAGGTGTCTCAGAGCTGCTTACAAACTCCTATCCCTTCCCCTCCCCACAACAGACACCCTGTGAGGTGGGTGGGGCTGAGAGAGCTCTGACAGAAACGGCTCTTTTTCAACAACAAGCTGTGCCAGAACTACGGCTTGCCCAAGGTCATCCAGCCAGGTGTATGTGGAGGACTGGGGAATCAAACCCGGTTCTCACAGATTAGAGTCCGCGCACTTAACCACGACACCAAACTAGCCAAATCGCTCGCTCACAACTTTAATGCCAGTAGCTCACAAAGTAGAATTTCTGCTCAGAAGAATCCATGGCTTAGAGGGAGCATTGTTTATGACGGTTGCAACCTTCAACACTCCTTTATCAGGAGCAAGATAATCTACAACGTTGGAATAGGTCGTTGTAGCTGTGGACTTTTCTATTAGTAGATACAATGTACTTTAGGTTTTTGTATGTGTATAACATATGTTGTTGTTGTTCAGTCGCACAGTAAATCAATATATGAAGATACAAGTACACATTAGTAGGAGTGTGTTTTGTTCTATCACACCACAGTTATCTTTTGCTCGGTGGCTCCTGACCGAGATTGATTTGTTAGTTTGTAACATAAGTGGACTTTGGCTTGCCTTAAAGCCGTGCACCAGTCTTGCAAGGGAGCCTTACTTGTCACGTTCCATTGCCTGCCTGCTGGATGCCATGCTCCAGCCGGGAGGCTTGCATCCCTGACATGCTTGAACATCAGAAATGTTGCAAATGGGGGTGAAGGCGACCCCCCCTGTGGACTCCCTGACTTTGTCTTTCTGTTCTATCATGGTGTTTCTTTATGTTTGTCTAACTTTGCTGTGTTCCCTGTGTGTTTGTACCCACCTGGAGGCTGGCAACTCTACTGGAAGTGGCTCTCCAGGGTCGCAGGCAGAGGTCTTTCACGTCATCTACTCTGTGTGCGTGTGTGCGTGTGTGTGAATTGCCAACAAGCCATTCAACTTATGGCAACTGTAGATCAATGACCTCCAAAGCTTCAATGACCTATAATGACCTCCAAAACTTCCTAGCATTAACAGCCTCGCTCAGGTCTTGCAAACCAAGGGCCTTTGTGGCTTCCTTTCATTACCCCGGGGGAACACGTCGGAACAGAGTTCCGGAACCCCTTTGACAATTTTTTTTTTTTAAGTTTAAAAGCGCATGAATTTTCAGAATACAGATTGAAAACTTCCTTTCCCTCCTGAGAATTCCGGCTGCTCTTTAAAAAAAGAAGAAGAAGCAGCCCTGAGTCAATCCGTTTCACGTTGGGTCTTTCTTTTTTCTTGCTGCCTTCCACTTTTCCTAGCATTGGCCCCGGTCACACGGGCCGGATATCGCGGTGGGGGGGGAGGCGTGGCTAATTGCCCCGGCGCAGTTTGATCCGCGAATACGCGATCAGACCCGCCGGCGGCACACCACCGGTCCTTCCCTCGGCGCCGGCGGGTAAACGAGGGACCGGAGGGGAATGCCGTGCGCCGGTGCGATCATACCACGGGGGTCTGGAGGCAGCCCGTGGCAAACGTTTACTAGTACCTTGGAGGTACTAGTTTTTTAACTCGCATTGTCGGCGGTAAGCCACGGGTGCACTCCACTTCCCAGATGTTGGGGTGTGATCGCGCCCGGATAATCCGCCCACCATTCGTGCCTCTCCTGCGGCAACTTTGCCATGTGACCGGGGCCATTATTGTCTTTTTCAGGGACTCTTGGCTTCTCAGCCTCGGTTTGGTCATTTTAGCTACTAGAGTTCAGGCTTGATTTGATCTATAGCCCACGGATTTGTCTTTTTGGCGGCCCACGATATCCATAAAACTCTTCTCCAGCATAACATTTCAAAGGACTCCACCTCCTTCCCTGTCAGCTTTCTTCATTGTCCAACTTTCACACCCGTACATAGTAATGGGGGATACTGTAGCCCTACTATGCGTATACTACACTGGTATGATAGGGTTGCCAAAGTCTGGGTGATGGTGGGAGATCCCCCACTATCACAACTGATCTCCAGGAGACAGTTATCAATTCACCTGAGATATTATTTTAAACCATTGGATAATGGAAGTTGGATTGAATAGTATTAGCAAAACAGTAGCCATTTTACTTGCGGCAGCTAAAAATACAATCGCCGCAAAATGGGAAAATACCATTGGCCCAAGTAGACAGAATTGATATTCCAAATTATGGAATATGTCTACAATGGCAAAAATAACAGATAATATTAATAATACATATACGCCTTCTTACAAGTCTGATTTTGTCCCTGTTTGGTTCCCTATCTTGGAACATTTATCTCAACAAGAGGAAATACTGAGTATAATTGATAAGTAACATCTTTGGTTAATTCAGTTTGTGAGCATACGTTTTACATAATGTAAATTGTTCTGCCTGCTATGTGTTATATGTGTTGTTTTCTGGAAAAAGTTTAATAAAAAATTGTTTAATAAATAAATAAATATTCACCTGGGGAAAATGTAGGGTTGCCATCTCCCCGATGGGGGCAGGGGTTCCCCTGATTTTGGAGCTCCCAACCCCCACCCACCAGCTGGCCGGGGGCGGGAGCCCTGCCACCAAAGAGCCCCATTCCACCCAACATGCCTGGCGTGATTGCACTGGGCACGTCATGCGGGGGGCGCTCTAGCATGTGGACAAAAACTCTATAGTGACCATAGAGGATTTTGCCCAAATGATAGAGTGTCCTGCCCGATGTGCCCGGTGTGATGATGTCACCTCCGGGTGACGCCATTGTGGTGTGCATGCAAAAAGACTGCCAGAAGAATTCTGGACAACCCCCCCCCTCCGCTAGGAGCCAGGTAAGACCTGGTAAGAAAAATGGCCACTTAGGAAAGTGGACTCTATGGAATTACACCCCATGAAGTCCCTCCCTTCCCCAAACCCTGCCCTCCTCAGGGTCCACCCCCAAAATCTTCTAGTATTTCCCCATCCAGAACTGGAAGCCCTATAGTATAAGTTATATTGATCTTGGTCACCTACTACCGGACCCCTTTTAACTGGAGATACCAGGGACTGAACCCAGGACCTCCTTCTGCATGCGAAGCAGGCGCTCTTCCACTCAGCCACAGCCTAAAGCATGTGGCCATTTCTCTTAAACAAAATAAGGCTAGAAGCACGTTTTCACAAATGGAACACTGAGCTTCAGAGAATCTGTTTATCTATTTATTTTTAAGTCATAATTTTTAAAGCGTTTATTTAGATGAAATAAATCCTTTTGGTGAATGGATTAGTGCTCTGATTCTGTGAACCGATTTGGAAACGTTCAGAAAATAGACTAAAGATGGATAGCTTGAGAATTATGTGCTCCATCATGGAAAATGGCTTTCTGTCCCATTAGTTACCGGCCTCTTGGGTGATTCTTCTACAGATGGTTCTCATGGCTTCCCACCTCTTGCTGTACAAGATTTGATGCATAGATTTATCTTTTACCTTCCAGGAACTCAGGCATTTGTCCTCAGAGATGAGCCAGATACCAAGATAGCCCAGTTAAGTCAGAGGTTCAGGGAACACCTGGTGAACCTCAGAAGGACGGTGGGTGAGAAGGTGGACTTGATCCTGGGAGTGGAGTTTGTCGATCAACTTACGTAAGCAAATCCCCCTTATTTTGCTACAGGGGGGACATATGTGCGGCTCAGGAAATCGATTGGCCAGAGGTCTGAAGGGACACGAATCAAAGCTGGGAGCACCACCCAAACACAGACACATGAAGTTGTCTTATCCTGGGTCAGGGCGTGGTTCTATCAAGGTCAACATTGTCTATTCCAAAGGGCAGCGGCTCTCCCGGGATTCAGGTCACTTACTGCTTTTTTTAGCTGGAGATGCTGTGGGTTGAAGCTGGACCTTCCTGCATGCCAAGCAGATGCTCTACCACAGAGCCATGAGCGTTACAACTTGACTTGTACTACAGCCTCAAAACCATTTGCTTCTCAACCCTTGTTTAGGAGAATCCTTGTTTAGGAGCAGTCTGGACACATTTAGGGACCCTCTTCAATTATACAGCTGCCCTCTGCCTGTTCCCAGGATTCTGGAACCAGAGCGTTTAAGAAGCACAACAAAAAGAAAAACACCTTCTTTCCGCCTCCCACCATATTTTTGTGCTCACACTTTGGCTGGAGATGTACCAGCTGTGCTAGCTAGAAACTGACTGTGTTGTCCTTCTAAAATCAGTTGGCCCTCAGATTAGTACTGCACTGAGCAAGCCTGAGTTCTTCTGTAATTGTATACACGTAAAAGTATCTTAGAAGGAGACAGCCCCTAGGGTTGCCAGCGCTGCTTGGACAAATGCCAGGAGGTTTTGAGGGTTCTGCCTGGGGAGGGTGGAGTTTGGGAAGGAGGTGACATAACTTCCGGGTGACACTCTAGGAACGTCCCCTGATCTCTATGGTAAAGATCATAGAGACATGGGGAAATTCCTAGAGTGTACCTATGGAGGCCATTTTCCAGTAATTTTTCCCTTCTGTTCCTCAGTTTCTCAGCAGCAGGGGACTGAGGCAAGGAAGAGGGGGGTTGCCCACCAAGAGCAGGAAAATGGCAAGCCTGTGTCCCCACAGCTCATCCTCCCTTGTCAGTATTTAAGCACCTCCAGCTTACTTAATTTGTTACTTGCCCTGCATCTATGAAGAAAAAGGGGAGGCTAAAAAAATTGTACCGAATAAATTAATTAGCAAATTTCTATAAAATGGGAGCTGAACAAGCAAAGCCTTGCAGCTCTGTACACATTAAGTATTATTTATTTATTTCATTTATACCCTACCTTTCTCCCCAATGGGGACCCAAGGCAGCTTATGTTAGTCTCCTCTCCTCCATTTTATCCTCACAACAACCCTGCGAGGAAGGTTAGGCAGAGAGAGTGTGACTGGCCCAAGGTCACCCAATGGGCTTCCACGGCATGAGTGGGGATTCGAACCTGGCTCTCCCAGATACTAGTTCGATGGCCTGAACCACTACACCACACTGGCTCACGATAATCTGGCCACCTCCTCAATTCAGAAGCGTCCTGCTCTAAGTCTCTTCCCTTCTCTCTACAGACAGAACGTCACGAATTACTATTTACAAGTACGAGAGAGCTTATATAATCTGGAGCAGACACTTCCCGCCGAGACCAAACAGGTCTATGATCTGGCGCTTAGGACACCATGGGGGATGTGGAGCAAAGCCCTTGACTCCCTGAACGAGCAGAGGAAGAAGCTGAGCTCTGCCACAGAGGAGATGTCTGAGACGCTGCCCGGCATTTTGAAACCCTATGTAGATCCGGTCCTGAAGAGCGTGGCTCCGTACACAGAGAACCTGGGAAATGTTGTCTCAGCCACGGTAGTGGAGCTGAAAGCCAAGATGAATAAGACTCTGACAGAGCGGGTAGAAGATCTAGCTTCCCAGCTGAACCCTTATGCCACGGAGGTCCAGAACCACTGGAAAGAACTTCGGATGTCCTTTTCGAACAACACCGAGCCACTGAAGGAAGAGCTCCTACGGGGACTGGAGACCATCAACAACTCCTTGGTGAAGACCTTTGTCACCCCTTTCTTGGAGATTTTCCCGGCTCGTACTGAGCACTGAGATGGAAGTTGATGACCCTTGGCTTTCCCCAAGATGAGTGACTTTTCCTCCTCATGGAGGATGGAACCCTAGACAACCTGTGTAAACAGAAATCAGGCAGAAAGAGGGTTACGATATGACCATCGGTGGTTGGGGTTGGTGGGGATACTCTATAACCTCTCACTACTCCTCAACCTTTAATAAAGGACATATACCCCCTCATGATTCCTATCGAGACCTCTGTTTGTATGGTGGTTTCACATGATCCTGCAGCTCCACAGATGGTTGAAAGCTGCCGTCACCCAAGCAAAAGTGAACACACACAAACACATACTGAATCAGACCTTTGGTTCATCGAGGTCAGTCTTGTCTACTCAGACTGGCAGCAGCTCTCCGGGGTCTCAAGCTGAGGTCTTTCGCTGGAGATGTCAAGGATTGGACCTGGGACCTTCTGCATGCCAAGCAGATGCTCTACCACTGAGCCTTGGGCCCTCCCCAAACATGAAGCTGTTTTATACTGAATCAGACTCTTAGCCCATCAAGGTCAATACTAGGGAGGGGCACAAACCTGGAAAATATGTTTCAGTTCCTGGTTCCTGGCTGAACCACGAATTGAACCCCAAACCGAACCAGGAGGCTTCTTTATGGACTGAACTGGATCGTGCGGTTTGCAGCCCTGCAAACCCTGTTGAAAGGGACTGCAGTCCCTTTAAAGGGAGTTTGCAAAAAGCAAGAAGCTTGCTCCTCAGCCACTCAGCTGTTTTGTGCTATTTTGTGCAATCCCTTTAAACTTTAAAAGACATCCTGAAAAACAGTGGCCAGCAGAAAGGGGGGGACATCCCCTGGGAAAGGACTTCCCTCCCAACTTTCTCCTGGCCACAGTGAGCCATGGCCAGGAGAAAGGTGGAGTTAAAGTGCGCCTTAAGGACTTCCCTCCCAACTTTCTCCTGGCCGCAGTGTGCCATGGCCAGGAGAAAGGTGGAGGTGAAGTGCACCTCGGAAGGCACTTCACCCCTTCCATTTAAATCCTCCTTTCTGCTTGCCGTGAAATGCTGCAGGGAGCTAAAAGCAGTCTTTAAATGGCTGTGAGTCATTAAAACCCTCCTTTCTGCTACCCATGGCTTTTCTGGGGGAGCAGAAAGCAGGGTCATTTAAACCCAGATAGCTGCAGGGAGCAGAAAGCAAAAGTTATTTAAAGAGCTCGGAGCCATTTAAACCCTGCTTTCTGTTCCTGAGAAAAGCCATGGGGAGCTGAAAGTAGGGTTTAAATGGCTCTGAGCCATTGAAACCAAATAGCTGAGCAGCTTGGCGCTCCCATGTGCTCAGCTGTTTCTCCTGAAGAGCAGAACTCTTCACAAACCATCACAAATCTCCACAAATTGTGCCAAAATTCGTGATAGTTCGTCTTGGTTCTTCAGTTCACGAACTCCAGTTTGCGAACCCCGAACAGGCCAAAATTTGTGACGAACTTTGGTTTATCAGCCGGTTCGTGCCCATCCCTAGTCAGTACTGTCAGCTCTGACTGGAGGCAGCTCTCGGGGTCTTTCACATCACCTATTGCCTGGTCCTTATCCCCAGAGATACCAGGGATTGAATTTAGGACCATCTGCATACCAAGCATATGGTCTCCCCACTGAGCCATAGCCCCTCCCCATAGATACAACATGCTGTGACTGAGTTTTCAGAGTGTGGCTCTCTATTCCACCATTTTAGTCCCACATCCACCCAATGAGGCATGTTAACTGAAAAAGAGGGACCAAGGCACCCAGAAAGCTCTATCTATGTAGGGATCTGAACCAGAGTCTACTAGATCCTTGGTCTAACCATTACACTTGTTCTAGCAGCAGTTCCCTTCCCCTTTCTCTGTCCAAATTAGCGTTGCCATCTCCAGGTTAGGAAATTCCTGGAGATTTGGGGACCTGAAGCCTGAAGAGAGCAGGATTGGGCGAGGAGAGGGACCTCGGCGGGGTATAATGCAGAGCAGCCATTTTCTCCAGGGGAACTGATCTTGGTAGCATGGAGATGAGTTGTATATCTGGGAGATCTTCAGGCCCCACCTGGCGGTTGCCACCCTGAGTCCAAATGAAAGGAACTAGTCACTGGGATGCAACGGGGACAAGGAGCCAGTGAGGGGGAGGGAATCCCAAAATGGCCGCCCCTCACAGCAAATGGCAAGGCCAAGGCGGTGTGTTTCTGTCAGGTAAAAAAACCTCACCTGCCCCAACTGCTGTAGATCAAGAAGAAGAAGAAGAAGAAGAAGAAGAAGAAGAAGAAGAAGAAGAAGAAGAAGAAGAAGAAGAAGAAGAAGAAGAAGAAGAAGA